GGAGGAGATGTGCGCTTTGCTGAAACGTCTTCCCACATTCCAAGCACTTGTAGGGCCGTTCCCCAGTGTGGATACGCTGATGGATGAGGAGGTGGGAGCTCTTCGTGAAGCTCTTCCCACATTGCCCGCATGTATAGGGCCGTTCCCCAGTGTGTAGGTACTGGTGGGTGCGGAGGGTGGAGCTGTCCCTGAAGCTCTTCCCACATTCCCCACACGTGTAGGGACGTTCCCCAGTGTGGATGTGCTGGTGTCGGATCAGCTTGGAGCTTTTGTTGAAGCCCTCGCCACATTCCACACACGTGTAGGGCCGTTCCCCAGTGTGGATGCGCTGGTGGGTGCGGAGGGTGGAGCTGTACCTGAAGCTCTTCCCACATTCTCCACACGTGTAGGGACGTTCCCCAGTGTGTATGTACTGGTGGGTGCGGAGGGTGGAGCTGTGACTGAAGCTCTTCCCACATTCCCCACACGTGTAGGGACGTTCCCCAGTGTGGATGCGCTGGTGTCGGATCAGCTTGGAGTTTCGGTTGAAGCTCTTCCCACATTCCCCACATATGTAGAGCTGTTCTCCACTGTGGATGTGCTGGTGGGTGAGAAGGTTGGAGCTGTTACTGAAGCTTTTTCCACATTCCCTGTACGTGTAGGGCCATTCTCTGGTGTGTATGTGCTGGTGTCGGATCAGGTGGGAGCTTGTCCTGAAGCTCTTCTCACATTCCAAGCACCTAAAGGGTTTTTGCCTGCTGGGAGGCTGCTCAGGGACCACCAGCTCGGAGCTATGGCTCAAGCTCCGGCCGCCACGGCAACACCCCTCCCGCTCTCCCCCCTCCCTATAGCCCTCCTCTCCCACCCCTTTCCCGGGTCGTTTCCCAGTGTGGATTTGCTGGTGTTGGACCAGGTGGGAGCTCTGCCTGAAGCTCTTCCCACATTCGCCACACGAATAGGGCCGTTCCCCAGTGTGGATGCGACGGTGCTGGATCAGGGTGGAGTTGGTCCTGAAGCTCTTCCCACATTCCCCACACCTGTAGGGACGTTCCCCAGTGTGGATGTGCTGGTGTCGGAGCAGGTCGGGGCTCTTCCTGAAGCTCTTCCCACATTCCAAGCACCTGAAGGGCTTTTCCCTGCTGGGAGGCTGCTCAGGGACCACCAGGTCCAAGCTCCCCCT